AATCAGAGCACAAAAGAAAGCACTTGCCATTTTTTGTTGCATTATTTATCAGATGGACGTCATGTGATGCTGAGACTAGAGAAAGCGTGGAAAGTGTTCATGTGAAACTAATTTACAATTCAAGAAACCTCATTACAAGTGCTCTTTAGGGGAAACGTATTGCATGCTACAAAAGTGTAGCATATGGGCCCTTGCAACTGTTTTATGAACAAAACTAAGCAGAAATTTTGTTTTAAAGGGGGGTTCAGTGGTTGTTTTCTAGGCTTGATTGTGTTTATGGGGTGCAGTCTAACATGTGTTAATGCTTCGTTTTTTTAAAAACGCATTATTTTCCACATAATTTACTTTTATTCCACACCGCTCTGTCTCTTCTCTGAGAAACGCGCTGATCAATTTCCTTCTTTTATGAAGCCCCTCCCTCAGAAATAGGCGATGGGCTCTGATTGGTTAGCTTTAATCAGGATGAAACTGTATATTAAAAGCTAACATAAACAGTACACTCTAAAAAATTCTGGGTTAAATACAACCCAGTGTTGGGTAAAATAGGAACAAACCCAAATTGCTGTGTGAAGTAGATGCAATTAGGAATCATTGGTTAAGATTTATTTATTTACAACAGAACAGCACAACCCAGATGTTCGAATTTGTGCAACGCATTTTATGGACGACAGTTTTTGGAAGCACGGCTTTTAATGGTAGGCCTATGTTTTTTTGTTTGTTGGTGTCTCATACTTTTAGATACTACTGCTACACTCTAAAAAATGCTGGGTTAAATTCAACCCAGTGCTGGGTAAAATAGGGACAAACCCAGCAATTGGGTTGTTTTGACCCAGAATTTTTTAGAGTGTACTGTTTATGTTAGCTTTTAATATACAGTTTTATCCTGATTAAAGCTTTAATACAGTACCGCAACTGCACGCAGGTCCATGTTTAATGCTGCTCAGAGCTATGTGAAAATAAGTGTATAAATGTAACAGTTCATTGCTGGAGCTGAGCTGAGCTGAATGAGAGAGAGAGAGAGAGAGAGAGAGAGAGAGTGTGCAGAGCAGGGCGACACGAGGAACAGTATTAGGAACCGCTGCTTTAGAACATTGATTTTGAATCTTGTGAATCCATTGCCGCTTCCAGAGACTCATGGATCACAACACACAGGAAAGAACAAATTTAATCGCCCGGGGTGAAGTGTGTTTAGACGCTGGACGTTTGGGGGATATTTATGGGGCATTTGATTAGATGACAAATAACATGTCCGCAAACAGAACTGTTATGCAAACTAGTTTGGTCATAATTATGATTTTACCATTTTTAATCAGTTTTGCTGATATTAAACAGCCCTGCGGTGATACATAAGAATCTTGAAAAGAGTCGGAATGATTATTAAAATGGCAATTAAAATGCTTAATAAAAGGGACGAATATTCATACTTCTTTGCAGTGTACTAATTAGTCCTCTATTCATAAAACAATCTTTTCATTAGCCAAAAAGTCTGCAGGCAGTCTGAATATGAGCCCAAAAGAGTTCAGAGTCCTTCTCTCAGATATAAAACCAGAGACTGTGAGATTCAGAGGTTGTGAACATTAATTGCTTGCTGTCTGACTGTAGTCTTCTGAAGTCATATGATAGTTTAGTTCGAGGAACAGACCAGAGCACTTGATATTCACTAATAATCTTCCACCGCAGCTCTCAAACGAATGGCGCTTATGGCACAGATTTGACATCATGACTTGGCTAGAAGAATGTTATTGACAACAAATCTGTGGCATGGGCTCCACAGGTTGTTGGAGAATAATAACTCATATATTGGTCTAAAGAGACAACAAACAAATGAATGAACCGAACATGAGAAAGGATGACAAAAGAAATAATAAGAAAAACGATGAACAAAAGAAGAAACCAAAAACAAACAAATAGAGAAAGAAATAAAGAACAAAATAATGGCTAAACTAACTGTAATAAACAACTGAACAGACAAACAAACGAAAGAACAAAAGAGCCACCAAACAAACAAAAGAATGGACTGAACAAGAAAAACAATGAACAAAAAGAATGAACACAAAATGGCCAAACTAAGAAAACAAAGTGCAAACAAAAGAGGAAAAAAAGAAAGAATAAGCAAATGAACAACTGAGCAAACAAACGAATGAATACAGAAATGAACGGAAGAATGAACAAATGAAACAATGAACAGCAGAAAAAAAACAAAGAAAAATGTAAATTATTATTTTTCAAATTAATTTATTAAAAAATGATGTTGTTGCTACAGTAAATAGAATATATAAATAAAATTGTAATCTTTTTTTAAAGATTTGTATATAACATATATATATATATATATAATATAATGTAATATAATACATTGTAGTGTGTGTATATATATACAGTATATTGCTGTTTATATTTATTTTGGTTAGGATGCTGCCTGATGGGCCGTTCACAATGACAGCGATTCGAAGTGTTACCGCACACTGATGTGATTCCTTTTCAATGAGAGTTGGCGACTTGAGCGACAGAGACCGTATGATATGACTGCCAGGCACAGTTCAGTACTGCTGTCGAGTTGAGATGCCTACGAGCAACAAGCAGCGTAGCGACCCGACAACCTGCGGTGATTTAATCGCTGTCAGTGTGAATGCACCATTAACTCCCTATGCAGACAGTCCGACGTCTCAGAGCAGAGCAGCACATCCTCAAAAATGACTGAAAACAGCTCCAGTTAGTAGGACTATGCGGTTCATTGAATTTTAGTTTTATGAAACGATTATGAAAACATGATAATCAAGACAGAATGACTCCGCATGCTGCATTCCATTCCTTTTATTTATTTGATAGCGGTGAGCTTTTGCGCCGCCTTAAAAAGTCCAAACTTAACATCCAAATCAGTCAAATCAGACATGGCTATTGTAAAATGCAGTCTACTGAGGGACATGCCTGATATTAAAAAGAGTTATTAAAAGCGTACTAAGCTGCGAGAGAGAACTTACGCTGTGCTTACACAGCGGCTTTCTGTGCGACATAAATGCAATTCTGAGAAAAAAGTCAGAATTGCAAAATATAAACCCTTTTTTTTTGCAATTTTGAGTTTATATTTCACAATTCTGACTATACATATACATATATATAATAATTTAGAGTTTATATTTGTTAGAAAAAGTGTCATAATGACGAGATATAAACTCAGAATTACGAGAAAAAAAGCAAGAATTGTAAGAAATAAAGTCGCATTTACTTTTTTTATTATTATTTTATCCCATGGTGGAAACAAGCTTCCATATTAATGTAAATCAGCCAAACAAAAGAAAATGAGAAAATCGATCACTGCTCTTAACTGTAACTTTAAAGGGTTAGTTCACCCAAAGATGAAAATTCTGTCATTAATTACTCACCCTCATGTCCTTCCAAACCCGTAAGACCTTCGGTCATCTTCAGAACACAAATTAAGTTATTTTTGATGCAATCTGAGGGCTTTCTGACCATGCATAGACAGCAATGCAACCGACACCTTCAAGGCCCAGAAAGGAGGTAAGGACATCGTTAAAATAATCCATGTGACATCAGTGGGTCAACCGTAATTTTATATAGCTACGAGAATAGTTTATGTGCGCAAAGAAAACTAAAATAATGACTTTATTCAACAATTTCTTCTCTGCCATGTCTCCACTGATGTCACATGGACAATTCTAACAATGTCTTCACTACTTTTCTGGGCCTTGAACGTGTCAGTTGCGTTGTTTATGCAGGGTCATTAAGCTCTCGGATTTCACCAAAAATATCTTAACTTGAGTTCCGAAGATGAACGAAGGTCTTACGGGTTCAATTCAGTTCAAAGGTGAGGAATTAATGACAGAATTTTTATTTTTGGGTCAACTATCCCTTTAAAGGGGTCATATACGTGATTGTTGGTACATTTTACCAGTTTTTACCATTCTTTCAAAACAAAAATTAAAATAGGAAAAATATGCGATATGAAAATAATTGAAGACAAAATGTGTTTTATTGAGAAAAAACAAGATTTGGTTTTTAAAAAGCCTTTTTCCAAAAGGTACATCTGGAAAAAGGGGGTCGTCTTAATCAGGGTTGTCTTATATTCGACTTACCATATATCGACGCGTAAAGCAATTGTTAGTTTTTAGTTTGTTTGAATTTTCCCTCCTTTCCTTGCTTTCCTTCGCTTTTAAATAGCTTAAAAGCACTGTGTGCATTTTACTTTCAATTAGCGGCAATTTGGCTTCAATCGCTTGAATGCAACAACAAAATACAACGTCAAACTCACTTTAGCCTATATATAAAACATAGAACTTTTATTGACAAAACGAATAAAAATAGGGCAGGCTATGCCTAATATAAAATAACAAATAACTTACATAAAGTTTAAATAGGCAGCCTATAAAAAACTAGAAATAAGTAAACATGTATAATATATAACCAAATAAATAAGAAACGTAGAAAGTTTATTAGCTAAACGAATAAGAAAGTTTGGAGGCACAGCACACACCTTGACGTCAAATAAAATAAATAAATTGCACAAAGTTTAAATAAAGTAAAAATCAGCAAACACTGTGGAACCAATTAAATAAGAAACGAATGTTTAAAAAAACTTCCAAAATCACCTTAGATAAACGGCAAAAGTCAACAGGCTTTTCAAAATCCCAAATACTGCCAAACAGGCGCTTTTGCATTTCGTTTCGAAACTAAATCATTCGCGATTGTCTTGTCTGTTTCACCTCACTCTTCTTGTCAGTCAGCTCGACTCACTCTCCTCACTGGAGAAATGAAATCTGATCTGTGATGCGACTGTCGATCGACACGCTGCATTGAGCAGCCACGTTCAGTTTTTAATTGTAGTGTCTGTTCTTTTACTAAACTAAATGATTTTTATTACTATAAAAAATCTAAACGACGGTGGGGGTCGGTGCCACGGTGGGCAAGTGACATAACCGGTGTTGCGGCTTATCAACGGTATCACCATCAGCACTGTCTATCGTGGTAAGCCTAGATCTTACCTGTTGAGCCAGTGTCCAAAGTCGGGCAGGTGCGCCCACTGCACTCCGGTCTGATTCAGTGACCTCAGCAAGCGGCAGCAGGTCAAGGTCAGCAGTGGGGTCGCCAGCGCCAGCCATTTCTCTGAGACCCAACTCACTCCCAGCTCCACCGCCGGGGAGAATGACGGTCCTTCTTCGGTGCTGGAGTGAAGCAAAGGCCCCTCGTCCTCCTCCTCACCACGATGCCTCTGTTCCCTGAAGTACTTCCTGCAGACGTCCTGGAAGATGGCCAGGCACAGCGTGTTGAGCAGGAAGTACCAGGTCTGGTGCTCCTCCTCTATGAAGCTGCTGGAACCCAAACTCAGGGTGTGACCCACCGTACCGATCAGCAACAGAGCGTCCAACTCCGACAGAGTCCAGTCAGAGCCCTAGAATGAGAGAGAGAGGTTACTATTAGCCTCCTTGTATCAAACCTAGTGAGTTGCCTCGCTGTTTACTACTCTCTACATAGGCAGCTACCTTCTAAGGCAGCATAATAACTGAAATGGAGCCTCATAAGTGACTGATTTGGAGATTTACACAGACAGCAACTCTGTATATAAAAGAAAATGGTTGATTCACAGAAAATACACAGCAAAACATGCATAAGTTACTGATTGAACTAGTTTTATTAATATAATTTTCAGTACTGAATGAAATATGTTTAATCAAGAGGATTTCTAGGATATTTTTCTTCCATTGAGCTTCTGAGATGGACTTGAGTTGGTAGGATTTTTTTATTTTTTTTATTTCTTATGCTCATTTAATTGTTTAAAAATACAGTAATAACTGTAAAATTGTGAAATATTTTTTACAATTTATAACATCTGTTTTCTTTGTGAATATATTGTAAAATGTATTCCTGTGATGCAAAGCTGAAGTTTCAGCATCATTACTTTAGTCTTTAGTGTCACATGATCCTTCAGAATTCATTCTAATCTGCTGATTTGCTGCTCAAGAAACATTTCTTATTATTATCAATGTGGAAAGCAGTTGTGCTGCTTCATATTTTTGTAAAAAACCATGATGCATTTCTTTTTCCAGGATTCTTAGATGAATAGAAATCTAAAAATAAATAAATCTTGTGAGCTTAATGAATTTTTTTTTTTTTAAATCAAAACATTTGCTGTTTCTTCTAAGGAGCACAAATGATAAATGCATTCATGATACATGTACCAAAGAAAGTTAGCATGCAGTTTCTTCCACTTCTTTGGACATTTTATATGGCACAGAGCATGCTGTGCCTCCAATTGTTGCAACACATTCACTCCAAACATCCCGTCATCAACACATCATGTATGGCCATCTTCCATACAGACAAAAGTTTGCACACAAAAAAAAAACCAATACAAGAAAGTCAGATGTGAAGCATAGAGAGAGAAATGGAGTGGAAAAGGTGAAGCGGTTACAGTTGAAAAGGGCAAAGACCACAAGTAACCGAAAAATCGGACAGTTTGTGACAGTAAAACGCTGCTGACACTGAAGTCACCGCTGTCCAACACTGTAAAACAACTCTACAGACAGCACTTTGATGTGTAGAGCCCTGAGCTAACACACAAACACACACACAAACGAGGTGAGAGCGCATGTTGTGTTTCCCACAGTGTGTAAGTGCAGGGCTGCTGAGAGCAGAGCAGTGTTGACTCAAAGGGAAAGTGCTAACATCCACACACACTTCTCTGGGGAATCCTGTACCCTGGTCGATCAAAATCAGCCCAACTTAATACAAAATTCTGGTCTCATTACGAAAGATTCATCACTGCCTGTTATTCTGAAGACACAAATGTTTGTTTTCATTATCTTTCATTCAAATGTAATCACAATCTTTTGCATTCCGAAACAAATTTTATTTTCTTCTAATCGCAGAAGCACAGCAGACAAAAATATTATTAACCAACTATATTTTTGTGAACAAAATGTGAGTACTGCAGTGGCAGATTTTTGAACTAGGTGTAATCAAATTAAAATAAAACACACACACACACACACACACAATAACAACTAATAAATAATAAAACAGCTTCATAATATCTTGTTCAGTTTTGCTTCTCCAGTAAATGTATCATGCTTCAAGGAGTTTCAGTATTTTTACTAGAAGTTTAAAAAGATGAAATAAAACAATAATAAAGGAATATATATATATATATATATATATATATATATATATATATATATATATATATATATTGTATTTATACAAATATAAATAATGTATATATGCAAAATACTACATAAAATATGTATTACATATAAATATAAATAATAGAATATATAAGAAAACACATAATAAAAATCTAATAAAACAACAACATTTTTCTGTGAAAAACAAGCCTAATACATAAAATAATAAAATAAATACATAAAAATAATAAATTATAAGAAAAAAAGAATATATATTAAATGTTACATTTATAAATATATATTAAAAAGTCATTATAATAATTATATTTTATTCATTATATTACTAGTCATTTTTTACAGTACACTAAAGATCATCTCATATAACATCACAGGATTATATCAGTTATTATACACTAAAGCTAAAACTATTAAAAATTGTTTTGTTAATTTAAATAATGCTGCTATAAAATCAAAATGCTCGCCATTTTGGAGAGTATGCACTGAACGCAAACAGCGTATGCTATTCTGTGTCAGCTGCGTTACGCCGGATCTGTTTCTTACGTTGTGATTTGATCTGAACGAAAACAGCGTATCCGTGTGGTGCGGCTGACACAGAACAACATACGCTGTATGTTACAGCGGATACTCTCCAAAATGGCGCTACAATGACACAGAGACGAATTGTTGAATAAAGTGGGGTTTTTTTCTTTTCTTTTGCGCACAAAAAGTATTCTCGTAGCTTCGTAAAATTCCGGTTGAACCCCTGATGCCACATGGATTATTTTACCAATCTCCTTGCTATGTTTCTGGACCTTGATCGTGGTAATTACATTGCTGTCTATGGGAGGGTCAGAGAGCTCTCAGATTCCATCAAAAATATCTTCATTTGTGTTCCGAAGATGAACGGAGGTCTTACGGGTTTGGAATGACATGAGGGTGAGTAATTAATGACAGCGTTTTCATTTTTGGGTGAACTATCTCTTTAAGTAAAATCCCTTTTCCAGTCTTTTTTCCTTAACACAATATCTTAATATAGAAATTAATTTCTTAGATTCTGCATGTTCTAGCAGGTGATATTGCTTCAAATCATGAAACAGGTTAGTGTTCCCTGACTTTGATGGCACGGGCCTTTAATACATTTAATACATGTCTACATTAATAGTATAATAAAATTCCATATGTATGTCCCACATTGTTCATGGCATGTGTGGCACCATTAATGCTGTTTCGCTCCGCTTTTGGCACATAAACAATAGAATGTGTTATCATTTTATCAAGTTATTATTGTGATAATTATCATTAAAGTTTTATCACCCAGCCCTAGTTCCTCTCTACTTTACTTCCAGTGAAAATTCAGTTTCCCTCACATTACTGAAGTTAAATGTGCTGTTCTTGCTCAGTTCAAACAACAGACAGTATTTCTAAGTGACAAACAGCATCTCAGCAGCACACCGTTTGCTCTGATAACGCAATACTAATTGGTAGCTCTGTGGCTTGTTGCGTGTGTGTGTGTCCCTGGTCATGATGGATACGACCATGTCCAGCCTTGATGTGTGTTACCATGGGGACCGGTCACATCTCACCGGTGTGACAAGGCCTCGCCACGGCAACTGATGCCTCCCATTCATCACCCGGGCAACACCTGGGTGGAAGTCATCCGGCGGGGGAAATGGATTGTGTAAGCAACTTGTGTTTGTGTAAACACCGTCTGGGATAAACTCGCTCTCGCTTCTCATTTCTGCGCAAACCGTCTCTCTTTACTTTTTCGCTTTTTCATATTGTCGGTCCCATCGAAGGGAATATTGGGATCCACGATCAAAAAGCAGCACAAATGCATCAGGAGTTTGTTTTCTGGGCTGCGTTCAGGTCTCTGATGGTTTGATCATTGCAGAAGCGAGTGCTGAGCTAACGGGGCCACGCGCAGTAATCTATATGCTAATCCAGAAGCAGACAGAAATTCCCTCTGACGACAGGCTGTGTGTGTGTGTGTGTGTGTGTGTGTGTGTGCCCGACCATCAGCTCATGTGCAACTAAACAGCCTGTTTGTTTCTTTATAGTAGACATATTGTACAGTATTTTATGCTTTCCCTGAAGTCCAATTATAATGTTACGCTTTCTGCACTGTAAATGGGTTTTTCATGAGCATTTTCCACCCTCTCTCTCTGACCCGTACAATTAAACAGCCTGCTTTTGCTGTTTTTGAGGTCAACATGAAACAGCATTTACAGCCTATTTTACTTCTGCAATGCGAGTAGAACAGATTATTTATTTAGGGAAAAAAAGTGCTTTTATCCATCAGGAACTGAAGTGTACAGTGCGTGTTTCATAACTGAATGAATCTAAGATAAATAAAAATTAGTGTTCGTTTTGTCAGCTATTTTTAATTTAGTCTTAGTCCTGTGTCAAATGTAACTTAGCTTTTACCATATTTAGTCAACTTGTCCTGTTTTTGTCGACTAAGGCTATGTTCACACTTGGCGTCTTTTTTGAAGCTGTCAAAACACAGTTTTCTGTTTTACATTATAATCCTATGGAGTAAACAGGCCCGTAATCAGCTATGAGGCCACTGAGGTCCAGACCTCGGTACATTTTTCATGTTAAAAAATAAAATTTGTTCTTTGAATGACTAATTTGCTGTTAAACTCCTCATATGAATGCCTGCATGACATGTATAATTCAGTTTAGACAGTTTGCAATAATGTTTAGCGTCCCTGGTATTAAAATGATCGCTGCGAGATGCTGAAGGAGTGAAGGAGGCTTGAGAGAGAGTTGTGAGCAGTGTTGGGGAAAGTTACTTTTAAAAGTAATGCATTACAATATTGCGTTACTCCATAAAAAAGTAACTTAATTACGTTACTTAGTTACTTTTTATGGAAAGTAATGCGTTGCGTTACTTTTTAAATCTGGACAGGGCTTGCTTGTTTGTTTTTAAAATAAAAAAGTTATATTTTTGGAAAATATAAAAGCCTTTTCACACCAAATGTGAAATTAATACGCCTCAGGCTGAAGGGAAAGTAAATTTACGTCCGTACAGTAGAATGCAGAAGAAGACATTTCAACACACTTCAGCAATAAAAAAAGACACACAAATGTTTGTCTAGAGTAATTTGTGCTTATTAGTACGGTTGAACTGGATCATCGAAGGTCAGAAGCAAAGACATTGGTTAATAGAATGGGATTAAATACATAAAAGATATTTGTGTTGTTTAACATTTAATTATTGCAGGTTTGCGTCATATTCTGAGTTGCATTATTTTTATTCATTTTG